GTAGCTGCACAGTACTGAAAGAAAGAAATGCCGGTTGGGACACCTTTGAAGTGTAATGTCCCATGGACCAGAGTTACCCAAGTAATTGCACGTAATTGAGGTGACAATTGGGTTCGAGTCCCACCAGTGTCTTGATTTACACGATCCAAGTACAGATCTTTCATACAGTTGTTCTGCCACCATCTCAACCAGATTTTCTTTTAAGTTCTCAGCCTGACTCCCACCAACGCCCTTCCTCCTCAATATTACATAGTGCCCGTTCCTTCCTTCCTGGCTTAGGTAACCATCTCTAGGTCTCTCCTAACTCCTGGTAAAGTGCCTGTGCCCAAATTCGTGGCGGTATTTCTCTGCTGTCGCTGCTGTGTAGTCTGTCTGTCTCCTTGTGACAGCTTCTCCATCTTTCTGCTTATTCCTCTGATACATGGAAAAGACAAAACAGAAGGTATCTGGAGGATGAAAATGTAAACTGTTCTTATTTTCTCTTAGCAAAGCCTCAACCAGATGAAATTTTGTATGGGAAAATACAGCATCCTTGGAAATTGATTATTTTTTTTTTTGGAGTTCCAGGTGGGTTTCCATGGTAACTAAGTTTGGGTAGCCATACTTGCTTGCTGGATGCTTTCTTGCTCCTTGCCTTATATTCTTGCTCCTGCAGAAATATATTGCATGATATACTGTTTAGGAGAGCTGAATTAGCCCCCCTACCCCATGGTAGTTTTCCATGGGATGGGAATGGTTTTGGGAAACTGCAGGTGGGAGGAGGGGAAGGTGAGACTGGAGGAGACTGGACTCGGTGCATAAGGTGGAAAGAAGCACGTCCCTTTCTGTGTTTGGTTGCCCTATATAGATTAAATCTCTGCCTCACACCTGAAGTTTTCTTTCAGTGCGTCTCATATCTCTGTTGCATTATTCTCTTTGCATTTCATTGTCTCACTTCCATTTTGGCTGAATTCCTCTTCATGAATTTTCAGTCTCCTATTATTTATTGGAGCTACCTGCCTTTTGACCTGTTCAAGCTCTAGCTATCCAGGTTCCTGCATACTCAAAATGCTGTTCTTTTCTGTACCCAAAGATACAAGGACTCATCTTAATTACAACATAGTAATTCTGGACTCTTCTTTTAGCTGATTTACCCCCCACCTCCTGGAAGATCAGAGTTTTCCTCATATGTTTCAAATACCTTAGATACTTTTTGTTTTCAATTCTTTTTCTCATCTCTGTGCATCTCTTGTTCCCTGTGGTAAGGGCACCTGATGTGAGACTGATGCTTCCATTCAACCATGCTTCAGCAATAAATAAAACAAGTTTTTAATTTTGTTGTTTATGTAAGTAGACTAACATGGACTACAATTGTTTCCAAGCAATTTGGTGTTCATTGCAAGTTAAGGAAGTGATATTTGCACGTTGAAATTTCTAGGTAAAGAACATAGTAGTGTTGCTACCTTTATTGTACAATTCGTACGTCTACATTCAACTGTCTGTGTAAGCACGTTGGATAAGAAACTTCTGGAAAAAAAATTGCAGTGAGACTTGTTCAGAAAAATAACATCTGCTGTGGAGATGTTTTACATTCTGGAAGTTCTTGATTCTGTTTCTGTCTCCCACTGGACATGTAAAATATGTTGAACTGATTAGAAATTATATGGAAGAGGTAATAAGTAGATCACTTATGAATCGGTGTGAGCTGCTTTAAAGGCCATAAAATTATGTTTCATTATATAATCTTACCTAGTTTCGTCCAGTTGTTGTAACTGAATTTTTATTTGTCCAGGTAAGACTTGTAGTTAAATAGGTACATCCAACTCCCTGGGAGGCAGTTATGGCATCGGAAGGGCTTTTTTGCAACAGGATTAGATTATTGGCTCGGGGGCTATACTTGTACAAGGACATCTGTCAGAGGAGGGTCCTCCACTCAGTTTTGGGAACTTAGCAGAGGCTGGGAGCCAGGATCCAGCTGCCTCTTAGGCAAACAAGAGCTTGTCCTTGTCAGATGGATGCCCAGCTCTCGAGCGACCGTGAGCTCTAGTGTAGGAACGTGACTCAGTCCCTGTACTGCTAGCTCTCCTTGGCCATGTAGCATATTATGGCTTGCTGCAGCATTTCAGCAGCTGTATACGCATCTGAGATTGTATTTTTGACTCTGTTGAACTAATCAGGGAGAGAAGAAACTTGTGTATAGTCAGATCTGTAGAGTGAACTAAAATAAACTTTGTTTCAATTAAAGGAGTAGTATTTATACTGCTTTTATCTGCTGGTTTAATAACATGATTTAAAATCACATCTTCAGTGCTGTGTGGACAATTTCATTGTGCAGACCAGCTCTTAGTCGTATCAGAACTTCCTTAAGTCAGTGGGTTGGGCCTGAGAACTCTCAGATGTTATTCTCATGTGGCCTCCCCCCCTTTTTTTTTTCCTCTCCTTTTCTTTCTTTGTGTGTCTGATGCATGTGTTGTAAAACCAAGAAACTGTAAAGACAGTTAACACTTCTGCATCTCAGTTTCTTTGTCGGTATAGTGGGAATAGTACTTTCATCTCCTAATGTTTGCTCTGCAGTACAGTAAGGTCCTGCAGCAAAAGGTGCTTGTGTAAAATGAATAGTTCATAGAACGGTTTGGTTGGAAGGCAACAGAGTTCAAACATAAATGACAAGCCATGTCCTAAGAGGTTATCACAAGCAATAGTAACTGCATTTCATAGAATGGTTTGGTTGGAAGGGCCCTTAAAGCCCACCCAATTCCAACCCCCCTGCCACAGGCAGGGACACCTCCCACGAGACCAGGTTGCTCAAAGCCCCATCCAACCTGGCCTTGAGCACTTCCAGGGATGGGGCATCCACAGCTTCTCTGGGCAACCTCTGCCACTGCCTCACCACCCTCACGGGGAAGAATTTCTTCCTAACATCTAACCTAAATCTTCCCTCTTCCCATTTAAAGCCATTTTCCCTTGTCCTATCACTCCATGCCCTTGTCAAAAGTCCCTCCCCAGCTTTCTTGTTGGCCCCTTTAGGTACTGGAAGGCTGCTCTAAGATCTCCCCGGAGCCTTCTCTTCTCCAGGCTGAAGAACCCCAACTCTCTCAGCCTGTCTTCACAGGACAGGTGCTCCAGCCCTCGGATCATCTTGCTAGACTGAGATCTTAAACATAACATTGATGTGACTTGATTTTTGAGGGGAGATATTTTTCTGGTAGAAGTTCTTCTTTGTCTCCCTCTTCCAAGAGCAGCAGTGATTTCTCTCAGCACACCTAATTCTGTCTACTTTGCATCTCCAGTTTTTGTACCGTGCAGCAGCTCTGTTTGGAGCTCTGCTGCTCCCCAGCTGCACTGCGTCTGGTTGCGTGGGGCAGCATTTGTGGTTTTTACAGAGGCTGTGTATGTGGGTGACAGCGAAGACAGGGTTTCTGTAGCTGCTGTGCTACTGTATGCTCTGTTGGTATGAGCTTCATTATCACGATAGGAGTTTACCTCTTTTGTTTGTGTAATTAACTTTGAAGCATAGAACAGAAGATGATAAGGCTCAGAGGGAATCTTAGCAGTGTGTATAAATGCCTGATGGCAGAGTATAGAGAATATGGAGCTGGACTCGTCTCTCGGGTGTCCAGTGAAAGGCCAAGAGGCAATGGATACAATTGGAAATACATGAAATTCCATTTAAACGTAAGGACCAACCTTTTTACTCTGAGTGCAATCAAACACTGGCACAGGCTGCCCAGAGAGGCTGTGAAGTCTCCATCCTTGGAGATACTCAAAAGCCTGACTGGACAGGAACCTGAGCAACCTACTCTGGCTGACCCTGCGTGAGCAAGGCCTTGAGCTAGAAGATCTGGAAGGGTTTCTTTCAACTTCAATGGATGTGAATCTGTAACAGGTATCGTTCATTGTAATGAGTTTTAATTTGAGCACTTTAGTGCTGAGGCTCTTCGTTTTGTATTTTAAGACTTGGACATTTGTATTTTAAGACAACTGCAGTTTTCTGTGTGGATAAAACTGAAGAATGATGACCTTAAAAAACAAAACAAAAAAATTGGTCCTAGTCATCCACTCAGGGAGAAAGCAAATAAAGATGCATGTTAAGTCACTTAGTTGTGTATAGTAAATGACTAACAGTAAATACTTGCTTTAAGTACCCCTGTAGCATTTCTTTTTTTCCTGTGATTGGTAACTATTCGTCTCTGGTAAGCATGACTTCAGAAAAATCAGTTAGGACTGATACAGGAGTCATTCACAATTAGCAAACCCATTCCTTCCCTGTCTGGGTGAAGTGAGTTTGTCAGCTGCTGACTGAAATAAAAACAACTATTGACTATATGTTCTTCAAAAAGCATTTTAATGTCATAGCCTGTATAGTCCACAGAAGAATTAAGTAACCAAGATATGGTAAGTTGGTGGCAATTTTTAATAACTCTGGAAACTGGGCTAAGCTTGACTTTCTGTCCAGAGGACATATATCCCAAGCAAAATCAATTGTCATGCTTTGAATAAATTTAAAACAGTAACATTTTATTATGACTATATGGAATTCAGTGGGAGCCATTGGCTTTTGTTTGTAAGATTTTTTCTATCTTATTTAATCTTTGAAATGCAACTTGATTCTAATAGTGAAAATGTGGTGTTGTCCTAGTGAGTCTCTTCTGCTTGACGTGAGTGTGGTTGTAGTAAAGATATGTTGGGATCATGATTGAAAGGACAGCGCTGCATTGTTGTTATAGAAATCAGAGGATTTTAATAATGTAAAACAGCTTTAGCATCTCTTTCATGCCACCTTGAAATAACTTGGTAAAAACTGACTGCTTAATGCTGAATTCTGTGTTGATTTAAGATGTTGCTATGTTTCAATAGGAAAAAAGTAAGTGCAAGTTCAACCAGACTTTATTGTCTGTTTTATAGTGACGTCTGAGCAAAGTGATTTTTGTTTTTTCGCAGCTTTTGTCTCTAAATGTGATTTTTATTGGTGTAATCGTTAATCTTAAAATATTTCCTTTTTTCTTTTTTCCCCAGTGGGAAGAGATTAGTGGTGTTGATGAGCATTATACTCCAATCAGAACTTACCAAGTGTGCAATGTTATGGATCACAGTCAAAACAACTGGCTGCGAACAAACTGGATTCCACGCAATTCAGCTCAGAAGATATATGTGGAGCTCAAGTTTACCTTGAGGGACTGTAATAGTATCCCTCTAGTTCTGGGCACTTGCAAAGAGACCTTCAATCTGTATTATATGGAGTCTGATGATGACCATTCGGTAAAGTTCAGAGAGCATCAGTTTACAAAGATCGACACCATTGCAGCTGATGAGAGCTTCACCCAGATGGATCTCGGGGACCGAATTCTCAAGCTGAATACAGAAGTCCGTGAGGTGGGGCCTGTCCGCAGGAAAGGCTTTTACTTGGCTTTTCAAGATGTAGGTGCATGTGTTGCCTTAGTCTCGGTGCGAGTGTACTTCAAAAAGTGCCCTTTCACTGTCAAGAACCTCGCCATGTTTCCAGATACAGTACCCATGGACTCCCAGTCACTGGTGGAGGTGCGGGGTTCTTGTGTCAATCATTCCAAGGAGGAAGAGCCACCCAAGATGTATTGCAGTACGGAAGGAGAATGGCTAGTGCCCATAGGGAAGTGCTTGTGTAATGCTGGCTATGAAGAAAGAGGCTTTGCGTGCCAAGGTAACGATGCCCTCCGTGGTCATGGTTCAGTTATTAACAGGGGCTTAGCTTTATGGCCCTGCGTTGTGTATTGGGTTATGTTAACTTTCTCCAAATTCTTGAGAGCAATAAATTAGTTTATAAAATCACCATGAAAATGGGGTTTATTTAATCTGTGTAGATAATGCAGTTTGCTAAAAATATTTAATAAGGGTCAACAATTGATTTTTAGTTAATAGAGTGTATAGCAAATCTAGCTTCTCTTAGCACTCTTGGACTTCCTTTCAGTAGATTATAGTCTTCTCAAATGCATTGTTTGTGTCAAAGCATTTGATAGTTTTCTGTGATTTTTTTTTAAAAAACTTTGTGGCTTGATGTGTAATTTTTGCTACTGAGCTGCGTTGATTAATTGGGATTGGTCAGAAAAAAAACAGGTAGCATTGTTTCGGGTAGCATAGTTCCTAAATGCAGATACATTTGGAAATTTAGTATTTGAACTTCAAAATTGCGTTTTCATAAATACTCACTCATGTATTTAACTCAAAATAATTTTCTCCAAACTTTTGTTTTCTGCAAACTGTGGTTATGTGAGTGCTTCCAAGAACAAGGATACACCAGGGATTTTGAGTTTTTCCAGAAACGGTCTTTTAAACATTAGAGAAATGCATATTATATTTACCTAGTTTTAATATCAGCCAAAATGATGGTGGTCTGCGTTTTGCTTTTTATGAAAGTACATTTTTAAGTTTTGTGCTAATTGAATCTTACATCTCTTTTCACAGAGCGCCTTAAAGGGTGCTGGCTGTGGCAAAGGGTCTTCCATTAAGTAAATAAGTAAAAGTTAGACAGTAATATCTAGAAATACCATGTATGGAAGGAGTAGTAGCTGAGATATTTACTATGAGGGTGTACGTATGTGTGTTTGTGTGCATGTGCATATGCATGTATCCATAAGAACAGAAGTTTAAAGTATTCTGAACTTGGTTGAGAGGGAGCCTATTCCTTTTTTCATCAGTCCTACAGCAATCTTTATGTCAAACAAGTCAGTCCTGGGGAGCTAAAAGGAGCCCGCCAAAGCAGAGCCAGGTAGTTGTGAAAACCATTGCTCTAATTAAGGTGACTTTTTCTCAGAAAATGCCAGGGAAGTGTGGGAGGAAAGAGGTAAGAGTGTGTTTTGTTTGGTTTTGCTTTTAAGTAGACTTTAAGTTGATTTTGCCCTCAAAATGAATGCACTGGGCATCTGAGTCTTTCGAGTATGATTTTCTGCAGTTAGACACTGATATTAAGAAAAACAAGTTAGACTCTTCTGTTAAGAGCTGAATCCAGGAGAGGATATTTTATTATTCAGCAATGCTTTATCTAGGGCCTCCTATAGCTCCACTTAAAAATGCTAAAATGTTGGTGATACTCTTTTAACCACTCTACATAGCTTTGCTTACTGTAGAACCTGTGTCCTTCTAAATGGTTGAAAGGCGTTGGTTTAGAATTTCAGTTACACATGAGCACAAAAACACAATCACTCTGGAAAGTGAGAGGCTACAATTGAGCAAAAGTTGGGCTAAATAAAGTAAAATAAATTGTTTTATTAAAAACAGGTTCTCAAATGCTTGGGGTAGGCAAGGCAGCTCCTATTGAGTTCTGCAGAGATTAGGAGTGAGTTCACATCCATCTGTGAGTATATCATACATGATTTGGAAGGCATAAAATCAGACCATAGGACTATTATCTTTTTACTTTTTTTTCCCCCCCAACCTTTTTTTTTTTTTTTTTTTTTTGGACTTCCTCACCAACTGTTGATCAAGGGAGTGATATATGATGAAACCATTAACAATAGCGACAAGTCTTTCTGGTGTATTCTGATTTAACGTATAATGTTCTACTAACTTTTATTGAAAGTCATATTTATCAAATATTTTCAGTGTGGTGTGATTGAAGTGGCAGTTTAAAAGCAGTCAGTAATTCAAAACCTCCCATTTGTTGGCATCGGTAAGTCAGCAGGAGTTGGATAACTTGGAAAAAGAGTTCAGTTTTGACCTCAGGCTCAAGGCTGCTCCTGCACCTTTCCTTTCCTTTTTATTCTCTCCTTCTCTTGCTCCTTCTTTTAGGGTGTTGGGGTTTAAGTTGGGGTTTTTTGTTTGTTTGTTTTGTTAACAAAAGGGCAGTAGAGTCAGGACTGTAGAGTCCGAAGAAGATCCGAAATGGTGTTGCAAGCATGGGCTGGAATGAAGGCATGATTTAGGAAAAAAAGTTTCAGTTGAAGTTTGAAAGAGTAATAAGTAATAGAATTTATTGTCTTCCCAGTGGTTGAAAACATTCAGCAACTTAGTGTCTGTCCCTACTTGATCCTACATTCAGACTCTTTCTGATTTTGTTTGTTTTCATAATACTGTTTTCAGAAACAATGTCATTTTGCTTTAGCAGGAGATTATTGCTGATGATTAAAATGAAGGACCCTAATGGTCTATGATCAGCCTATTTAGATTTCATTCAGAACAACTTTTCTTGGTACTTGGAAAAATGTTAAGACACGCTCATGCCCCCAAACTACGCAAATTGTGATGTTTTCCACAACTGCTTCCCTTTCTCTGCATAACCAGAAAAAGTCAACATAAGGCTCAAGCCATTTTTTGTATTGGTGTACATGTACATATAAAAACGTGCATGTTTTTAGAACATATTTGTATCTAAGCTCTGAAAAGCCAAGATTGGACTATTGGCTTTACTCAACATGTTGTTTCTTGTTGGAAAGATTATTGTTCTGTTCTGAGTCCTGCCAACTGATAAGCATTTTACACGTACAGCAGTACGATACCGACCTGTCAGTCAGTTAAAGAACCAGGACCAATTTTGCTATGTCCATTCTTTTCCTCATTATTCAGCATATGTGGAGAAAGGATTTCTCTAAAACAAATTGTATACCTCACCTGGAGGAATTGTGGTCTTTGTGGTGTACTTTAAGATTTAACACCGCCTGTAGCGAAGACTTTTGCACCTGCTCAGTATTTTGTAGGGATTAGGTTTGTGTAAGGGAAGATATGTCAGGGAGCATGTTGGAAAAGCCAGTCTTTCATGCCTTTTTTTCCCCCCACCTTAGCTAATACATATGTTAGTTAACTAAATGTGGTATATGTCATCCACTGTAGACTGTTTGTTATTACAGCTTTGTTAGCACTTGCATTGCAGTGATCCTGTCTGTTTAATCTTATTGTAATGTTTTGTGGTTGAATAGGACTCTTCCTCACAATGTCTTTGTGACATTTTGGCCAAGCTACATCTTTACAGCGTCTTCTCTCTTAGAATTAGTGTGTGTTAATTTGGTTTTAGTTATGGAAAAAAACCAACTGGCTGAAACTGCACACTAAATCTAATGCTTTCTGTTAGTCTCCATCCTACTCCCCAGTCAACAAGGATAACTCATCTTTTCCATTTGTTCCCCATCAAACAGCCATAGTAGATCAAATCAGGGGTCTTTCTGCATTAGTAGTCTTTCTCTGACAGTGGCAAACAACAGATTCCTAAGGTAAAGTATAAGAAATTTTATAAAGCGCTGCTCTACTGGGTATACCTTTCAGCTTCTGCCAGTCTGCTGTTGACTTTCTAAGACTTAAGATACATTTTGTAAGAAAGATCATGTATAATAGGAATCAGTGACTTGTCACCTGTTAATTTGTCTATTTTTTAACTCATTTATATTTTTAGTCTCTCAAGTTTTTATGGCAATGAATACTGTATCTTGTCCTGTGTGGAAAACATATCTTCTTGCTGTGTTTAGGTCAGTTGAATAAGGTTTTCCATGTCCTTGTATAGTGAGAAAATAACTGCTCCCTTTTAATCTTCTGTATTAACAATTTTTGAGGTCTCTTCCATGTCTAATATGTCATCTCTAAGACCTATTTTCCTCTCCCTCTCTACTAATGCCTTCTCAGTTGGAGGACAGGCTAATTGCTCCATACCTCAACTCATCCTTTTTGACTATACATATGCAAAGTAAACAATGTGGTGATTTTGTGGTGGTGTTTTGTTTTTTTTAGTGAAAAGGGCAATTAGGCTTGTATGCGCTCCTTAAGTTGCAAGTAGACCAGGAGATTATACAGTGGCATAGTGTTTGGAACAGCCCAAAGATCAATAAAAGAAAAGGAGCATTCACATCACCTGCCCAGTGAGTGATTTGTATGTGGAGAAGCTAGGCTCAGTGTTGTTTTGAATGCTACAGAGGGGAAATAGATCTCACGATGTGAAGGTTGGTTAGTTGGGGTAATAGTATCAAAATACATGGAAAAATGTAGGATAAATGTTTGAAAAAATGTCTTTAGCTCTGTAATGATCTAGAAGTCTCCTCAGAGAAAGAATGGAAGCCTCATTTCAGGAGCTGTTTTTTTTAAACCAGATGATAAAGGAAGTCCTGCACTGGCAGGCTTGGACTAATAAATCTCTTCCATCCTGAATGTGTCTATTCTGTCATTGGTTTATTTTATGCACTTCAGAAAGACTAGCTGGAGGTGGAGAAAGGTATTTTTCATGATGATATACTTAATTAGCGAACATACAGTGGGCGATTGTTTATCCATGTGGGCGTACAAGTGAGCTTGAATGTTCTTTTGAATGCTTCCAACAGGTGACCCTTTAGACCAAAGACAAGCTTTCTGGCTCTAGTTATCAAATGGAAATTTAAATTCGTGGGCCTGAACAGAATGACTTGAAAAGCACAGAATTACATTTTCTGCATGCTGTCATTTCAAGGTAGAGTTCTAAATTTTAGTTGCCGGAACTGAGTAAGTCTGAACTGTAAATTTCCTATGTAATACTGTGTAATAAAATTGTGAGTTTTAACCACAGGTGACTGACATGTTTTATGTAACAAAGCCAGAAGAAAAAAGACAATCTAATCCAACAGTCCTTCCCTATGTATATAATTTTTAGCTATTAATCAGGTGGATTGAATGGGAGAAAAGGGAGTAAGGGGTAAAGGAGGGAGAGGTGAAGTTCACCCACTGTGCCTGCTTATTGCAAAAATAACTTCA